GCGCGCCAGTCTATGCAGCAGGCGTTGCGTTTTCCAAAACTCCAATTAATTACTCCACTGTCTACCTATATCAGTTTCACCCGTGCGTGCCTTTTTTAACGACTCAAAGAAGAGTCTTCTTTATCTCTCAGACATGAGTGAGCGAGACGGCCGAACCGTCCGTGTTTTACCCTTATCTGCTCTCAGCATGACATTTATATGAGGGGGTTTCCTCTTCGCGTTTTAATTGAGGACGGATTCAGAAATCTGCCCTCTGCCCTAGACGCTCAGTATAGGCCGTATCTCTGGTATAAGAACGTATGGCCTCTGCCTCAACCCCTTTCCCTCTCCCCTCTTCTATCTCCCCTCTTCTCTCTCCCCTCTTCTCTCTCCCCTCTTCCCCTCCCCTCTTCTCTCTTCCCTCTTCTCTCTCCCCTCTTCTCTCCCCCCTCTTCTCTTTCCCCTCTTCCCTCTCCCCTCTTCTCTCTCCCCTCTTCCCCTCCCCTCTTCTCTCTTCCCTCTTCTCTCTCCCCTTTTCTCTCTCCCCTCTCCCCTCTTCCCCCTCCCTTCTTCTCTCTCCCCTCTTCCCTCTCGCCTCTTCTCTCTCCCCTCTCCTCTCTCCCCTCTTCTCTCTCCCCTCTTCTCTCTCCCCTCTTCCCTCTCCCCTCTTCCCTCTCCCCTTTCCCTCTTGTGCAAGGTTTATGATCTAGAAGCAAAGAAAGTAACGATGAGTTTGTAGTTTAGAATTCTACACGTATTTGCAGGTTATGTTTGCAGCAGATGTGTAAGGTACGGAGTTCCCAAGTCTTTTTACTTCTCTGTTTGTTTGTTGTTGTTTTTTCCCCCTATTCCTCTGCAAGTGTACCATTTTGCACATCGCCTGATATACGAGGTTTCTGCGTCCCTCTCAACTCTGTGCAGTTATTGCGAGGCGGAACCCCCGGGTTTTACGTCCATCTCCGACACAACTGGGCCGAGTCAGCGTAATGCCGGGTGAAGAAAACTACACAAGTCCAAAAAGCCCGGGCAGGGATAAGAACCTGGGTCATTCAATCACGATCTAACTTTGCGGTTGGTTTGGGGGGATTTTGTTGTTGTTGTTGTTGTTGTTGTTGTTGTTGTTTTTTTGTTGTATGCTGAGCAATATCTGAAGAAGAAGTGTCATGTACCGAACACATTATAAGAGCTGTCAATCTACAACCGATAAACCAAGTTGTCATCTCAGTTGGCGTCAAGTGTTGATTGGTCGATTTTAAGTACAAGGGGGCTATTCCGAAAAATGCTGTTTTGAGTAAATCAAAGTTAAAGTTTTTGGCCCCGCGTTCAGTTTTTTTTTTTTAAAACAAGGAGAGTTTTTTTTCTTCTATAAAACCAAACAAATATATCCACCAATGAAACCAAATTTCTCCTATAAGTAGGGCAATGCCCACTTTTGGTGTAGGTCAAGAGTTTTGGAAACCCCCGAAATCTGGGTTAGTCCGCTTGTCCTTAAAAGCGACCAATTAAGCTAGACTGCGATGTTATTGAGGGTGAGGTTCAAATCACCACATAGACGTTCTGGAAAGAATTGCGTTCTTGGAGTTTTCCTGATTACTGATCATCGATCCTCTTTATTTCACTGGAGATTCTTGTTAAAATCAGACACCATTCCTTCCCCTTCCCCTTTTGTCTCTTACCCCCGCCCCATTACTCACCCCCCAAAAAAACCCCAACAACAACAAAACAACAACAACAACAAAAAAAAACCCAAAATAAAACAAAAACAAAACGAAGAACCAACCCTTGCCCTTTTCGACCGCTGTTCATAATATTGAACTGAACTTTAATTCCCGTTAATCCGAC